GGGCAAGATAGGTGTTAGACTAGTAATGATTTGTAAAGGAGAATGTTAGCCAATTAAAATTGGTGTAGGGTTTCCTGCAAAAACCTACACCAATTTTAAACCTATCTACCACAATTACCAATTAATCAATTGATTTGTATATTAAAGCTTAATGAACGCCGATTAATAATCAACAAATCCTTAATGAATATGTGGATGCAAGACGTTTAAATACAACAATCAACAACTCAATACGAATTCACCATCCTTGTCCCTTTAGTAGCTTTTCCACCAATTGTCAAATCACAATGATGAAGATATAAAATATTGCAATTATAGAATCATTCCATCAAACACATGGTGTGTGTGTGTGTGTAATTGCTAGTGTGTGTGTGCAAAATTAAAGCACTAGTCAACAACCACAACTCGAAGTAATTTTAACGTGAAAACCCTTTCGGAAAAAATCACGGGACCAATTCAGGTCCACCTAAACTTAATCCACTATACTCAAAATCGATTATAAGGTCAAAGACTTATACCTTAACCAATATATCCATGGTTAGATGTTTTCTCCCTTAAATCCAGGTACACCGTGAGGTCTTGAGCTACAACTTCACTCGGGTGAATCAAGTTGCATGATCCGACTTGGTCCCGAATAATCTTCAAGGACTGCTTCCCAAGTTTCTCAGTAGCAACACACACTGATGTGGGTCTTGGTGCTTCTCTATAAGGTCTCTCTTTCGTCTTGTTTTGGATGTGAAGCAAAAGATCAATCAAAGTAGAATGACCTTTGGATACATAGGGATCTAGGGTTTGTTCTTGACTCTATATGATGTAAGAGGCAATTTTTAAGTTCTGGAGAGTCATCCTAGGCTAAAAAGGCTTGCACATACATATAGTCCCATTGTTAGAGTAATTTTGGTGCCCAATAAAACTAAAATTGCAAGGGACTACTCAAGCAATTAGAGAGCAGTTACCACTGGAATGAAAAAACAAAGCATACTAGGTCAGTTGAGTAGGGACTGCTCGAGCGGAGCGGTCTACAAGCTGCTCAAGCGGCCAAGAGAGCTATCTCTACTGTCAATTTTTTTTGCCTCTTTGGATTTTCCCTAAGCGTTCTAAAACAACTCTTGTCAAAGGCAAACAAGCATAAGACTACTAGTTTTTAAGTCAAAAGTCAAGTAAAAACTTGCCATATTTTGCACTAAAGGGTGTTGGTAAACAAGGATCCAATCTATGACTTAATATATGTTTTCAAAACAAGATTTGATGTTTCAAAAATATTTCCAATGAAAAAACCTACGAGTTATGTACGGATTCATCCTAAGTCCATTTTATTTAAAAGCTAATGAGCCAAAATAAAATGCCAAGGGTCTTCAGGTCATTACCTTTCCTAAGGTTTGGATGATATTGGGAGGGCTTCATAATGTGGCTTGTAGCTTGAACTCCTTCCTTCTTGTAGCTTTCGGATCTTGAATTTTGAAGTATCATGACCATGGACTTAGTTGAGACTTACATTCTGACTTCATGCAATTAATCAATTACAATAAGCAATTTTCTAATAAATTAGATAGTTAAAAACAAAGAAGGTATCTTTTTGTTTATTGTAAAATATGGCCCTTGATTGAGTGAAATGATGGACCATGATTTATGTAGCCAACTTCAAATAATTGGAAAAAAAAAATTGTTGAATTGCGTTAAGCGGCCATGAAGCGGAGGAAACTTTGGAAATGATCATTTTGGTGGACTAGTGGAACCAAAGATACACATTGCTGCTCAATGAACACGACTGAATTTCTGAGTTTGCTTCTTGTAAATTATCACTATTTGAGGTAATATCTTGAGACAAATTAATTTTGTCCTATAATCAACGAATGATAATGGAAATGGAGGATGTGTTTACACACGGTTTGGAAAAAATATGCTCGAATCCGATAGACCTGGTTGTTGGCTCTCTCGAGCCTGATCTCAATATTCTTAAAAAGAGAGTTTGGGTTTTCCCGAAATCCATTACTCGACCCAAAGCCCAGCCTAAGAGCCCGCTCGAAAAAACCCTGCCCAAGAGCCCGCCCACCCTTCTTTTGAAAAAAAGTTATACTTTTAAACCATTAAATTTGAAACTTTGAAATAAGTCTCCCAATGTCAGAATTTGAAATTTAAAAAATTTAGATACTATAAATAATATATTATTATTTTTTCCATGTATTAAGCATACAAGTTTTAAAGGGTAAAGTAATTCAAATGATAGATAAGTGAGTAAGTGTCAACTTAGTTGAGATGTATTCATTCTATTGAATGTAGTTAATCCCCTAATCAAAAATAATTTATCATTATTTTATTTTGATCTTATTTGACTTTACTTTTGATTCAAAAATATAATTTACACAATAAATGAAGTTATTTATAAAAAAGCCCACGAGCAAGCCCTCCCAACTTGCCTGCCCAGAAGGCTCGCAGTTTGGGCTGTAGGTAGCCTACCCCTACCCAAAACTAGGCCTCGGCTTGCCCGATAACTCACTTGGGTAAGGGCTTAGACCTACGCTACCCAAGTCTGGCCCAAAAAAAAATTCACGGGCCTAACCCGGTCCGGCCCGTGGACACCCCTAGGTGCACATTGTGCCTCCCTTGGCACCTTATAGTGAGATGCTTTTTCTCATTGGGGAAGAAAGAATCCAAAAAGAGGGGAGGAGATTTCCACAAGAAGAAAGATGCGATACATTTTCCTATTGACTGCAATGCTAATATCATTCGCAAACAGAATGACCTCCAGCTGTATGTGGTTATATAGAAGGAGAAGAAGCACTAATCTGTTTAGTGAATAGGGCAGCCCAACCAAAAATCTTGAGCTTGTTGAAAAGCTAAAGATCTCTAACATAAGCTGCCCAACGTGACCTGAGGACTGGCCATATAGAAATGATGGTTGTGGTTTTCAATATCTAAGATCTTGATGAGTCATACTATTTTGTCTGCTTAGAGCACGCAAAGAACTTACCGTGGATATTATCCTTTTTGTCTGTGTAATTCTAGGTACATTGTTCTGTTTCTGAGTTTTTGTTCTTTACAACTTCTCAAGTCTGAGAAACATCCAAAAGCTAGAGCTTGGGAGAAATGGAAAACGTAATTAACTATCACCTGACAAAATAAATTGAGGAAACTGACTAAAATATGAATAAAGGCTAGCTCTGCTTGGTGTTTGGGATTTTAACCTATTCAGCTGCTGCTGCAGAAGAGTGTTGATGGCTGTTTCCCATGGTTGATTTCTGCAAGGTTCCATAATTCGAAAGTTGGATAAGATGGTAGTTTTAAAGGGGTCTATTTCTTTTTCTTTTTCTTTTGGGCGCCCCCATTTTTTTTTGTGTTTTTTGGGGGGGCTACTAGAATTTTGGGCTCTTTTTAGGGCCTTCTAGGCTTAGAGACTCATTCCAAATTTCTTATTTAGAACCACATTCTGAAGAAGTCCATGTGGAATTATTCTATAGCCCATAGAAAAAAAACTGAGTTCTTTTGTCCCATAATTGCTTTACCACGCTGGAGTAATTAATTTGCTAAAGCACATAACAGAGATGCTAAAATAACTTCGACAAACCAACTTTGTTGTGTAGCCACCCTTGATATTATGACGAAGTCTTGCATTTGCCTGACCTTCGAATTTTTTCTTGGTTGGGCTTATTTTGGCTTCCATCAGCTTCTCATTTCGTTTACAATTGACTACCTGTGGGACTTCATAAGAACAGGAATCTCAGATTACAGTTTCAATTCGCATTCAAAGAATAAATCTCAGATTACAGGTTCAATTTGCATTCAAAGAACAGATCTCAGATTACAGGTCCAATTTGCATTCAAAGTGCATGGTGGTTATAAGATGTTTTAATGAGGCCCTTCAGCACAATTTCATGGGCTCGATGAATTCTTGACTTGTGAATTATTTTTTGTGGAAACTTACATTCAAATTCATCCATTATTTTGAGTATATGTTTTTGGATTTGCCTGAATCAAGTTCATTGCTGACATTGAAGTCTTGGCACAGAGTAAAGTTCCCAGCCAACATGAATGCTTCACGTTCACATGTATGTAACCATAATTCTACATTTGTTGATCGATTGGGTTTTCTTTTGCAGTTGAATTTTCTGGTCACAGAGAGTAGACAACGTGAGATTCTTGATCCAAATTGTGAAGTGGTTGAAGCTGAAAGTCTTGATGCCCTGCTCTTAGTTGCTATCCAGTGCGTGTCTTCAAGCCCAGAGGAGCGGCCCACCATGCACAGGGTGGTCCAAATACTTGAATCTGAGGTCATGACCCCATGCCCAAGTGACTTCTATGATTCCAACTCAGACTGAAAGCCTCCAGGAGACAATGAAGATCAATTTATGCTTCGACTTTATGCCACTGCTGCTGCTTGGGACAAACTGGAGAAGTGATGCAATAACTGAGGGACTGAGAATCTTGAATGACTCATTCCCACAATATTCATTCATTCTTTCAGCAGATGTACGAGTCAGTCCCCTTCATGTGTAGTTTTTTTTTTNGTTTGGGATTTTAACCTATTCAGCTGCTGCTGCAGAAGAGTGTTGATGGCTGTTTCCCATGGTTGATTTCTGCAAGGTTCCATAATTCGAAAGTTGGATAAGATGGTAGTTTTAAAGGGGTCTATTTCTTTTTCTTTTTCTTTTGGGTGCCCCCATTTTTTTTTGTGTTTTTTGGGGGGGCTACTAGAATTTTGGGCTCTTTTTAGGGCCTTCTAGGCTTAGAGACTCATTCCAAATTTCTTATTTAGAACCACATTCTGAAGAAGTCCATGTGGAATTATTCTATAGCCCATAGAAAAAAAACTGAGTTCTTTTGTCCCATAATTGCTTTACCACGCTGGAGTAATTAATTTGCTAAAGCACATAACAGAGATGCTAAAATAACTTCGACAAACCAACTTTGTTGTGTAGCCACCCTTGATATTATGACGAAGTCTTGCATTTGCCTGACCTTCGAATTTTTTCTTGGTTGGGCTTATTTTGGCTTCCATCAGCTTCTCATTTCGTTTACAATTGACTACCTGTGGGACTTCATAAGAACAGGAATCTCAGATTACAGTTTCAATTCGCATTCAAAGAATAAATCTCAGATTACAGGTTCAATTTGCATTCAAAGAACAGATCTCAGATTACAGGTCCAATTTGCATTCAAAGTGCATGGTGGTTATAAGATGTTTTAATGAGGCCCTTCAGCACAATTTCATGGGCTCGATGAATTCTTGACTTGTGAATTATTTTTTGTGGAAACTTACATTCAAATTCATCCATTATTTTGAGTATATGTTTTTGGATTTGCCTGAATCAAGTTCATTGCTGACATTGAAGTCTTGGCACAGAGTAAAGTTCCCAGCCAACATGAATGCTTCACGTTCACATGTATGTAACCATAATTCTACATTTGTTGATCGATTGGGTTTTCTTTTGCAGTTGAATTTTCTGGTCACAGAGAGTAGACAACGTGAGATTCTTGATCCAAATTGTGAAGTGGTTGAAGCTGAAAGTCTTGATGCCCTGCTCTTAGTTGCTATCCAGTGCGTGTCTTCAAGCCCAGAGGAGCGGCCCACCATGCACAGGGTGGTCCAAATACTTGAATCTGAGGTCATGACCCCATGCCCAAGTGACTTCTATGATTCCAACTCAGACTGAAAGCCTCCAGGAGACAATGAAGATCAATTTATGCTTCGACTTTATGCCACTGCTGCTGCTTGGGACAAACTGGAGAAGTGATGCAATAACTGAGGGACTGAGAATCTTGAATGACTCATTCCCACAATATTCATTCATTCTTTCAGCAGATGTACGAGTCAGTCCCCTTCATGTGTAGTTTTTTTTTTTCCTTTTTGAACCGCTTCATGTGTACTCATTCTCATCAAAATCAGCAATTGGGCTAGCGTAGATGGGTTCAAAGTGCCATTACCTACTTTTGGTGCCCTCATTTTGCACAGTTGTCAATCTTTTCATTATCCACGTGTATGAAATTTTTACTTGTGGTGCGAGCATTTCTATTCATCAGTGTTTCCTTTTTCTTCATTTTCCCTTAACCTTTTTTCACTTTCTTCTCCCCTTTTCTCCTGAAATTTCTTTGGCTCTCAAATTAAGTTCATATGACCTGATTTAAATTGATTTGATACTGCCCTTCATCACAAAGGATCCTTCTCTTTGGTTTTTTTTTTTTTTAATATATAATTTGAGTATATCACAACTAACCCCAAATGAATGCGTATTCTCATTTTGCTTAGGAAATCTACATAATTTTCATCGTGGATATTTATTCAGCATATGGTCTCGTTTTCTGTTTTGCTTTTTGGGTCTAGATAACTTATATAATTTTAATTACCTACTAAAATTATTTTTTATATAACAGAATTCTCCCAACTCGTTCTTTCATTGAAGTATATCATAAATAGAACGCATTCGGAAATTTTTATGCTACTTGAATTTGAGGAGCCTTGTGATAGGAATTCTCTGGTTTGATTTTTGCCTGAACTAATTTCTTTTATCAGCTTTACTTATTGGTTTACATGAGTAAACAATTCAAGTCTTTTTTTGTTTTACTAGCTAGGATCAAATTTGTAGATGACCCTGACTGGCATTTTACAAGTAGTTGAGAGCCTTTAATACGGCAGTCACTGTATAAATGATGTTAAAAATTACGCGTGTACCTATTCTAACTCTTCAAGGGTGCCAATTAATGAAAACTAACCTGGGTGCTATTTTTCTGTCTGATTTTGATACTACACTGGGTCAAATACCTTCTCTGTCTGTTATTGGAGTTGCACACTATTGTTACATACCTTCTCCGTCTGTCATTGGAGTTGCACACTATTGTTGTATTATCTATTTTTCAAAATGTTTCACCCCTCTTGTTCTAGCACAGATCATTATAGTATGTGGGATTACGTCTACATTTATTAGCCCATGGAGCTGTGAGCATAATTTTGAGTTAGATTTCACCCATCGTTCGTGTTTTTAACTTTTTTTAGCAGCGTTTGGTGTTAAGTTTTTTTCGGTGCTAATGGCACGTTCTTACTAGAAATGGAGTGCATTCGAACGCAACTTAGGTTGTCAGACTTGAACGTGACTGCGCGTTGTAATGACAAAATTCATGTAGCATTAATACAAAAGTAATGTCAAAATTACAATTGTGAATTTCACTTAATTTAATAAAGTGGTATTTCTCTTCTGTTTGTTTTTCACACGTACTTTCCTCTGATTTTTGGTGAATTTGATAAATAACGTGGGCTGGACTAGCGTGTTTTTCAATTATTGATTCGATTTTGACTTTGGTTGATTTGGTGAAGACAAGGGCTTGATCAGTATGGTTTTCAATCTTTGATTTGGTGGCGCTTTGGTAGATTTGTTGAAGACAAGGGTTGAATTGGTGTGATTCTTGTTCTTTGATTTTTGATTTAGTGGATTTGTTAAAGATGAGGGTTATATTGATGTAAATTGCGTTCTTCGGTCCTTAATTTGGTAGATTTGTTGGATCTTCTTACTGTTCTTTATGTTGAATGACTTGAAGATGATTTAAATCTCTTAAAGAATGTCATTTGGTAGTTTGCTCTTATCCTCTTGAGATGGATTTGCAAGATTTCAGTTAGATGTAGACTTCAATAGAGTTTCACTGCTATCTTTCCTTCTCCTAAGATGGACTCGAATAGAGCTTCTTGATCTTTTCTCTCCCCTTGGCTTTTGTTGCTCTTCCTCTTGGCCTCTTTCTTGGCTTCTTCTTTCTTCCCCTCCTTTAGTCTCCCTAGACTTCTGTTATAGTGCGAAGAGTAGTTATCCATATAAAGGTAAGAATTCTCCATATAAGGGTATTTTTACCTAAATACCCTTATATGGAGTTCGAATAGTGGGCTATCCATAAATTTGTGGGTTTTAGTTAATTTATTGATTTTAAGTCCAACCTATTTTACCTTTAAAAATTTGTTTAATTTGAGCTTATGAAATTTAAGCTTATTTTAATTTAATTTAATAAGTCTAGTTAATTATATTTAGGCATGTATTATTTGAGTTGTGGAATTTAGGTCTAACTCAAGTCTATTTAATTAAATTTAGACTTGTATCATTTGGGTTTATGAAATTTATGTTTAACTTAATTTTATTCATCTAATTGATTTGAGCTCAATTATAGACAATAATTTGTTAATTTTTTAATGTCTACATGCGTTTTATAGTGATTAGGCTCGTGCCACTTGAACTATTTTTAACCTCATAAATACCTTAAGGGCACTCTTTAGGTTAGTTTTCAACAGTTTCCAACCCCCTAGGGAACCAAGAGAAGTTGAGAGGGAAGAAAAATGACAAGATTGTGAGGAATTAACGCCTAGGAAATGAATTAACGCATGGTAGGATCGATTAAACTGTGGACAAGGTAGGAGTTATTTCTCAAACTCATTTATTGAAAATAGGGCTATATATTTATATCATTTTCATCTCTATTATAATATAAAATAATAGATCTACGATTTTTTTTCACGTTGGTTTAATCCCAAGATTTGTTTCTTAAATGAAATGCATGTTTGGCTTCCAAGATTTATTCATTTTTTTATGTAAAAACACTAGTCTTGATTTAGAATCCGATCTAAACATGCTATATATCAAAATTCGCATTGTCTTGATACAAAACCTAATGTGGGATTTTGGATAGTGGAAAACGTGAATGTTTATTAAAGAATATCTTGAGTGATGGGATTGATGAACTAGGGTAACATGCAAACCTTTTTTTTTGTAATAAATTAAAAATTTTATTTCATTTTATAAACAATTACAAGAATCAACAAACATATTCAAAAAGCGCACACAAAAAATCAATGAATAATAGTCTTCTTCCTTAACTGCTTGATCCCATGTTGATCATATGTAATAGTAACAACTTATAGCTTGTAGAGGAATGTTTAATGCTTGAGAAAAATCAGAGGAGGCCCCCTCTTGAACTGCCAAGTTAGCAAAGAAATCAGCCATGTAATTTGCTTGTCCGTACACATGCACCAAACTGAGCAGTAGCCTCCCCAGGATCTCTCCAATTTGCCTCAAGATTTCCAAAATTTCCATGATCTCTGATGCCCTTTCAAAACCATATGGATCACGACTTTAGGATCAGCTTCTATTTGAAGCTGATACCCTAATAGACCATACTTTTCAACCAATAACATACCATCCCTCAAGGCCCTTAATTCTGCTTCCATATTTGAGCATTCTCCATAAAAGAAGGATGCCGCAAGCACCAAATTTCTGCACTGATTCCTTATCATAGCACCACCCCTTGCCTTTCCAGGATTGCCCTTGAATGCCCTATCAACATTTAGCTTCAGCAGTCCATTAGAATGGGAAAGCCAGTTTATCCACAAAGCTCTCACCTCAATACTACCACACCAGTCCACTCTCAAAGCCTGCAATAACTCCATGCCCTTTCATTTTTAGTAACTCTAGGCTTTACACCTTTTGCCTACATTCTGAGAGAGCAGATTCTCAGGAAAACAAAACAAGTAGACAAACATCCCTCCTCAAAAACCCTCCTACACCTTTCCTGCCACAACTACCAATACACCACCAGAGCCAGCCCTTTAAGCAAAATATGACTTGGTGATTGTTTCTTAAAAACCCTCACTAATCTCATCATTCTCAACAAAGGAGTCTCAAAGCCAATAATCTGAAACCCACATAAAGCAGATAACTTAAGTCAAGACGAAAATTCACATTGCACAAATAAATGAGGTCCAGATTCAATCTCATGGCAACATAAAGGTCACCTACTAGCCAAGTTAACATCTATATTCTGGAACCTGGAGTCCAAGGGAACAACTTCTTTAAAAATTCTCCACCCCATAAACTTAGCATTTGGGGGTATAGACAGCTTCCAGATTACTGCAGCAACATGTCTCACCAACTGCCAAGCAGTTTTGACTAGAAAATAACTAGAATTAGTCCATTTCCACACTAACTTATCTGTCCTCTCAGTCAGATAAATATCAACAGCAAGAATTTCCTCCTTTATCTGATCTGTAATCAGATTTCCAAGCTTCTGCCACTGCCACACAAAGCCTTCACAAACATCTGAGAGTTTGGAAAACTCAGTAGGAGGCTCAAAAATTCTATTCAACAATGGTCCAGAACCCAACCAATTGGAGCACCAAAAATCAACTGAATCCCCCTTTCCAACCGAGTATTAAACACCACAAGTCCAAACCATGGCTGCAACACCCTAAAATACTTGGTTTGACTTTACACACCTCAACATATGCTGATTCTTTAAAAATTTTGCTGAGAATACTTTTAACCAAAGAGAATCCCCTTGTAGAATTCCCCATACTTGTTTTAGTCTAAAAGCATTCTGCACATCTTCAAATTTTCTGATCCCCAAACCACCCTCTTGTTTTCCAATGCCTTTTCTTTACACCTGGCTTACCAGACCAGATAAAGGAAGCCATTAGAGAATTCAGCTTAGCACAAATGCCTTTAGGCAAGACAACAAATGCACAGGAACTGAATTCATAAGAGCCTGCACCAAAACCACTCTTTGCATATTTGATAACAGCTTTGCATACCAGCCTTCTAACTTAACCTTAAACTTCTAAACAACTTCTTCAAAATCCCTAATCCTGCTCCTCCCCTTGATCACTAGGCAACCCAAATAAGAGAAA